CAACCTGTCAATACTGAGCAAAATGTCCTCAGCACATACGCTGTATTAACAACACAATGTTCAGACAAGTTGATAAGGTCAAAACACATGATCAACTGTATCACTGTGTGTCAGAGAGATCACCAGGATGTACAGATCACCTGTTCAGTGCAGGGCATAGAATGGCAGACTGATCACAGTGCAATTCTCAACTTGCAAATTGTTCCAACTCAGCACAGCTGACCAAAAGCCATCAGAGATCCTTTCAGTATGGCTGAATTGAGTAACACGGCTTGCTGCAACAGAATTGGTCAAAAGCTGAAGCTGGCACACACTTCGATGGAGATTGTGTTGAGAAAAGCACAAATTTAAATACATCGTCAGTGAAAACAGCAAACATTTCTTGGACCAAATAGATAAAGTGCATCAGGAATTGGTTTGATGAAAATGAGGAAACATCTTTCAAATCCTGCAGGTCAAAAATACAGCACACTTGCAGTGGCAGAGTAATCCAACCTGCATCGCCAAGAGACTAGTTCTGACACCTGAAAAGCAATGTCCAGAGAGAGCTGCATTCTTCCAAAATAATAGTGGAATGGGAAGAATTACAATATACAGACTCCTACAACTCAAAAAAGTTATTCAGCTCTATTCAATCTTGATATGGACAGGCTCCACATCATTGCTGTCGGATAACAATCAAAATGCAGACAGATCTGAGACACAAATGGATGGAACAGTTCAGCAGGCTGTTGAACATACCAATTACTGACATTTTCATCCTTTGGGTGTTTAGCAAATTCCTTTTGGAAAGCCATGATTGAATCCACCACCCTTTCTGCAGTGCATTCCAGTTCATAACCACTTTCTGCAGTGCATTCCAGTTCATAACCACCTACAAATGTAGAAATGCTTTTCTTCATATCGCCATTGCACATTTGTCAATCGCTTTAAAACAACACTATTCTCATTACAACAACCAGAATAACTCACGTCAGATTTGTATGTTTAAGTGGAGGCCAGGTCGGAGAATAGTTCTGTAGCACGTCTTGCTTATCTCTGTAATAAGCACTAGAAAAAGTCTAAGATATAAAGGTTAATATCTGGTTTAACAGCCTAGTCCTTAGAATTAGGAGTAGGTTATTCAGCCCCTCAAGCCTGTTCTACCAATCACTGATGATCAGAAATGATCCATCTTTGTTTAAATATCTATTCATACACTTAGCTAACAAAAATATGTATCCATCTCAATCCTGAAGAGTTGCTTTCATAAAAACATTTGTGTTATAACATTATCCAGATTGTGGGATCTCAGTTTCACTCAGCTGCTGGTAGTCCAGGCTATAGCGTCTGAATAAGAGGATCCTATATCATGTTATTGGTGTGAAATGTAGTCTGGCACTCATGCAGTTCTGAGGAGGTGCTGCATTGTCAGGTATGATGCAGTTTGGACAAAATGGTACACTGCTGCCCTGTGTGGATATTAAAAATTCTATGGCACGGTTCAAAGTGTCCTTACCCATAATCATTCCTAAACTAAATCAATTCTCACCTGATATCCACATGTTACTGCTCAGCCAAACACCCCCTTCTCTGGTCAGAAACTGAGGTTACTTTTGTATCCCTCTCAATACCGTAGCAGTTGGTTCTTATACATTGAGCCTAGGATATTTGTCATCACCTCATAACAATATGGCATTTTCACCCAATGTCTTTGGTCATGGAAACATAGCTCCTAGTCAAAAGCAGAACAAGGTACCTACTCCCACGGATCAGCAGCACTGAAGCGAATTAGGCTTCTGGGTAATGATGGAGTGATCTCTCACTCCTCCCTCCACTCTGCTTCATTCTAATTTTTCCCTCCTTATTAATCTTTTAGTCAATCTGTGCTTTTTTAAATATATTATGTCAATTCTTTGGATCTGCACCATTTTAAGTTTGATACCATCTTTAACCTTCTTATTTAACCACAGATGGTGCATTTTCCCCTTGGAATTTTTATTTCTCACTAAAATGTATGACAGTCACGTGTCAGTAAAATAAAGACCTGAAATCCCAGTTATAGTGTCATAGGGGACTGCAAGGGCAAATAATCCCAAACATCATACTTGTTCCACACTGTTCAACAGAGCAGTTGAATAAAATCACAGAATGACTACAGCACAGAAGGCAGCTGTTTGGCTAATCAAGTTCATGCTGGCTCTTTGCAAATACAACTTAGCTGGTTCCACTTCCCCATCCTTGCATTTTTAAAGTGGCAGCGGATGGCACAATCAAGGTTTTCCATGATTTGTCCTGTCCATTTGGAATGAAGGAAATATGTCACTCATTTGTTAACTCTTAATCCCTAATAGGGTCACTCACCACTCTCTGTACAATGGGATGAGTGTGTCAGGGTGGTGAGTGATGAAGATCACAACATTGTGGGGAGTAGGGAAATAGAATTTCATCTACATGCCCACACAAGGTTTCCTGAAAAAGAAATACTATTGTCAGAAAACTGGAACTGATACTCCAACTAGAAGTGGAAATTAATGTGGTCTACTATAATTTTTTCCCTGATGGAGTCTGTCCTTATCCAGAATTTATTGCAGAAAAGTCTACCATCTGGTCTTCTCATGGCATATTTTTCGAGTTCCCTGCTGGCCAGCTTGAGATTTATGTGGCAATATTGATACATTGACTTGGTGAAAGATCATTGTTTTACATGAGAGAGGAGATTCTGAAAAAGTATCCTAATAAAGGAGCCTACTATACAAAGCAGTAGTTACCCCTGTGTGTGTACAGGAGGGGGTTTATCTAGGGTAAAACACATCCTATAGCTATATTAGGCACTGAGCTTTTAAACATAGTAATGTTGCTGCACTTCACATAAAAAAGATTTGTATTTCTACAGCAGTATTCACTATCCTCAGGACAGTCCAAAGTGAAAGAAATCATAGTGAAGTGCAATCACAGCAGTAATTTTAGAAACAGTAGCCATTTTGCATGCAGCAAGCTCCAACACCATCAACAACGTGACAGGAACCAGCTAATTAATTTTACTGATTTTGGTGGAAGGATAAATGAGGAGATCACTAATCTTCTAAGAATGTCAAGGAATCTTTTGTGTCCAACTTAAAGAACAGTAAGTTTAACAGGTTTACTCTTTCATCTAAAATAAAGAAACTCACAGGTAAAACATGTTCTAGAGTGTAGTTATTGCAGGTAAAATGCAGTGGATTACAATATTTACAAAAATCGGTGAACGGTCATATTAAAGGGACAGCAAAGTCAGTACAGTATGATGCGTGACTTGGATTGAAATGTGGAGCTGATGGTGGTCCCATGCATCAGCTGCCCTCCTCCTTGAGGAGGTGAAAATTTCGTGTTTGAGAGCTGCTGTGCAGAAGTATTATTGAATGGTCTGTAATATATTAGGACAGAAGCTGGCAAAGACAGCGGTGTTCATTTTTACTGTCTGAGTCGCTCACTTTACCCTTGCAAAAGCACTGAAATGAGTACAATATTTGGAGGTAGAATTACTCGTTCTCTCGGCATACTCAAAATTTTAAACAGTCCTCTACAAACATTCCAACTAGTGCCAGGAAACTGTGCCAAATAAAACAAAAACACACAGTCAAAAAACGCAAAAGGCCCATTGATCCATCCAACCTGTCCCATATAGTTATTATGCACCGCAATACAGGTACTCCACAAACGTCCAGAGTCATATAGTCTCCTGGGAAAAGTGGTAAAACAGACAGAAACCAGGGTCAGTTAGGAAAATCAATATGGAAAACTCTTCTATACATCCATTAGGTGATCAAACTTAGTCCAAGATTATCAGTACAGCCTGATTAATCTTGTCGGTTACATACCTGTTGTATTAAGTGATCTTCACCCCAGTCAGCACCAGGTTAGCTCTTGCTTCAAGGGATTCAGTGAATTAGTGTTCGCATCAGGAGCCATCATTCTGTTCCACAGCTTTACTGTTCCCTAGAAAAACAAGAATCTAACCTAGACCAGCCCTTAGCCTGCAATCATGACTTCTAGTCTTCATTAATCTAAGCAGCCAAAGTAATTGGCCTACACAGACTGGTCTCTTTATTGTTTTTACACCTTGAGCTTTTTAAACCTTGACTCGACAGCTTGTCAACTGAATTTAGAACCAGCTCTCTGAGGTATCTGGGTTACTAAAATAAAAGCAAAATACTGTAATTGCTGGAAATTTGAAAAATAAACAAAGTGCTGGAAATATTTAGCAGGTCTGCCATTACTTCTGGAGACAGAGACAGGGAGTGAGGGAGAGAGAGAGAGAGAGAGGTAAGCTTTGTTTTGTAAATCTTAATACTTGTAAATATTGTAATCCACTGCATTTTACCTGCAATAACCACACTTTAGAACATGTTTTACCTGAGATAGTTTCTTTATTTTAGATGAAAGATTATATCTCCTTACTGTGCTCAGATTCTACAATTGTACACATCACGAAGCAGGAATTCATTAGTGATGAGAGTTGATTAAACGCAGCAACACAAAATTACACTTACAAGATAGAACACAACATTTACAAGATAACATCCCATAGTAACTGAAGAGCTTATGTCAGAACACCAAGGAAGATATGGGTAGATATGGTTGTGGGGAGAGAAAGGTGCAAAAAGGTGGATTGAAACACTACAAGCTAGGGAAGGTAATATAGCCTGGAGACACAAAATGGCAGAGTGACAAGTGATACATATGGTAAAAGTAGACAGCCACAGATATGTGGCAAGATAAAGAGGGTGAAGAATCAGAGATTGTGGGGGTTAGGAGAAAGAGACAGACTCAGCAAGAAACAAAAGAGGAGAGGGAATGAGAACACTCGAAGAAGGAATGAACAGATAGCAGGAAATGATTTAATCTTCAAATTGGTGTCTTGTTTTGTTGGTTTTTGAACATTTCAACAATTGGTTGGAAAGCCACAGAAATAAACTTGCAGGCTTTCCCTATAAATAATTTTACATGAAAATTAGTAGGAAAAGCAGTACAGACACAAATTCAGAGATGTCAGATATATTCATATTTAGTACCCTCTTGAATTTAAGCTTTTCACTGTACTTGAGTACGCGTGACAATAAATCAATCAATCAAGCTGTGCATAAAACCGAGGCATCGACATTGTCCAAGACTTGCTTCATAACCCAATCACCCATCACTCCTATGTTTGCTGACCTACTCAGGCTGCAGGTATCTGCAGAACTCCATTTCGTCATGCAATCAGTAAAGAGGGCAAGACGTTCCAATAATTTAAATTGAACAAAATCCAAAACATTTACAAATATTTGAGCCCTATTATCCAATATTCTTTCATAATTGACATATCTCAAGTCCACGTGAAACCATCAATTGTTCATTGCCAGTTCACCATCTCCTCAATTCACCTTCTTTTTCCATTTAAAGTCCTTGGCGGTCTTTAATAGGGACAGCATAATGGGGACACACATTGGCAGAAACAAGGGGATGTAAATGGCAAACTTCTGATCATCTGGGAAGTACAGTAGGTGGAGGAGAGATGGATCAAAGAAAGCTTTCTCGGATGAAGTGATGCCATCTTTGCTGGCCTTAAATGCTGGCAAGAGTCGCCCGGCCTCCAACTCCTCAAGTGATTGTTGAACAGAGGCCAGGGCACTGTACACCTGTGAAGACAGAGAAAGAAGAGATAGAGAGAGGGCCTTGGATAAAAGAACAAAAACACAAGTAAACTAAAAGACCCTGCTTAGGAAAAAGAAAGGCATTAAAATTTGAGAAAACACAGCCGACTTATCATCACAAAGCTCAACTATTCATTGCCCTGTCCCAGTTCTTTGAAAGACCTGTTCAATTAATCCCACATCCCTATAGTTTGTCCAATGCCTCCTCCTTTGGCTACCGTTGAACCTGTTTTTATCCCTCTTTCCAACAGCATATTCCAGTTTGTAATAACTAGCTGTACTCCTCCTCTCTCCCCTGATTCTTTTGAAAATTACATTGTCTTTAGAACATAGAACATTACAGCGCAGTACAGGCCCTTCGGCCCTCGATGTTGCGCTGACCTGTGAAACCAATCTCAAGCCCATCTAACCTAAACTATTCCATTATCATCCATATGTTTATCCAATGACCATTTAAATGCCCTTAAAGTTGGCGAGTCTGGTTACCAGTTTCTGCCAGTGGAAATATGTTTGCCTCATTTACTTTGTCAAAATTCCTCACTACTTATTTCCTAATTTGGAAAGTTATTCTCATTTGTCCCCTATCATCATCCCTTGGGATTACTATGATTCCTCAGCTGAAAAGGGATCAGTATCTTTTGGGCATTCATAGAATCCCTGCAGTGTCGAAGCAGGCCATTTGGCCCATCGAGCCCATATCAACTCTCCAAACAGCATCCCACCCGGACTCACCCCCTACCGTATCCCCGTAATCCTAGATTTCCCATGGTTTACCCACTTAGTCTGCACATTCTTGGATATTATGGGGCAATTTAGCATGGCCAATCCACCCAAGCTGCACATCTTTGGACTATGGGAGGAAACCGGAGCACTTGGAGGAAACATAGGCAGACATGGGGAGCATGTACAAACTCCACGCAGTCACCCGAAGGTGGAATCGAACCCAGGTCCCTGGCATTATGAAGCAGCAGTGTAACCCCTGAGCCACTGTGCCGTCCAAAATAAAAATCAACTCCTGTTTCTATCAAAAATTCAATAGCTGTTATCAAAGGGGAATTGGATAATTATTTAAAGGTAGAGGATGTACAGGACTAAGGAGAAATGCTAGGGGAGTGGGACAAGAGCAATTGTTCTTGCAGTAAACTAGCACAGACAATAAAAGTCAGATGGTTTCCTTCTGTGATATAAGCTTTCTATCATTCTATGCTATGCACCTGTGGAACTACAGTGCAGCAAATGGATTGTGCCTTCTCGAAGGAGGAGGAACATCTGAAACTCTGACAAATGAAAAGCTATCGGCTCACACTCACCTCAGAGGCGACGTTATCATTAATCACGATGTTTCCAATTTCATCGAGGAGCTGAGCTAAGGAGGTCAGTGTATTTGTTGCAGTGGCAATATTTTCCACTGTTCTCACCCAGAGCAGGCGGTCAATCTCCCAGTCAGTGGCAATCATGTTCCCAGGACTTTGGACAAGGGATTGAGGAGGGGGCTGTACTTTCTGTATACCCAATAGTAATCTGTCAGGAGGGTACAGGGGAAAAGAAAGTGAGAGAGTGCACAAACAAATCAAATAAATTATATGTGCAGCAGGACCAGAAACTCTGCAGTTCAAAGAGCTGTGTATGAGAATTAAACCCAGATCTCACTGATGATTGCATAACCAAAGCCCCTGCTGCAAGACTAGTGCTTCCATTCTATGCTTGGTTATCATGGGGTCGGGGATGGCAGCCTGGATTTTAACATCTCAGTCCAGCTCAATACTTGTGTATCACCATTAAATTGATGGGATAATGAGCAAATTTCACCTTTTTGAATGTATAATTTTACACCTTACATTAGAATGTTCAGCTCAGAAACAAGCCATTCAGCCCCATGGTCTAGGTCAGGATTTATGCACCCCTAGGACCTCACTCACTTTCTGCATCATGTGCTTATGCAGCTTCTCTTCAAATTATCAGCTCTTCACTTCAAACACTCCCTCTGGTAGCTATGCATTCTCACCCCTGTGAAGGTCACCATGCCTCAGGCGAGGGACAAGGTTGAGAAGGTGGTGCCTTCATGGTGGACCTCAGCTGGTACAGACACTAAAATCCAGCTTGCAGAATAAAATGCTGAAATTTTAATTCCACAACTGACTCAAGAAAATAGCAACATTCTACCTCATTTTTGAAGTCGATGGCGTAAGTAGGCACTTGGCTGGTAAGTAGACAGTCTGCCAGACAGTGATGGCAGCAACAGACTAACTATGCTACACCTGGGTTCTTCAGTGTAATAAGATCTGGACAATATCCAGGCTTGGGCTGACATGTGGCAAGTAACATTTGTGCCACACAAATGCCAGGCAATGACCATCACCAATAAGAGACAATCTAACTACCTCCCCTCGACATTCAAAGGTGTTACCATCACTGAATCCCCCATTATCAACATACCTTGGGTTATCATTGATCAGAAACACATTGGACTCACCACATAAACAGAGTGGCTACAAGAGCAGGTCAGAGGCTTAGAACACTGTGGCAAGTAACTCACCGCCTGGCTCCCTAAAGACTGTCCACCATCTCTAAGGCACAAGTCAGCAGTATGATGTAATAGTCCCCACTTGCCTGGATGGGTGCAGCGCCAACAACACTCAAGAAGCTTGACAACATCCAGGACAATGCAGTCCACTCGATTGGCACTTCATCCACAAGCACCCACTCCCTCTACCACCAACACTCAATAGCAGCAGTGTGCGCCATCTACAAGATGCACTGCAGAAATTTACCAAAGATCCTTAGACAGCACCTGGAATTTCCTCCCTAATGGCATTGTGGGTCAGGCAGCTCACCACCACCTTCTCAAGTAAAGACAGGCAATAGATGCTCGCCAGCCAGTGACGCCCACATCCCACAAAATGAATAATGTAACAAACACCAGACCAATTAGCATCAATCTCCTCCTGGGCTAAAGGTTGCAGGTATGCAGTAGCTAAGTTGGTAGCAATCTTGAAATTCTATCAATGGCTGCAGGGTCCCACTCCAAAAACTTGAGGACAAAAACAAAAGCTGGTGCTCCAAACTACTGACACCAAACTAGCACCCTCTCAGGTGCTAGCAAAGGCTTCCGTGGCCATTATTCAACAGGAACAGGGGAGTTTTCCACAGAGTTTTGGTCACTATATATTCCTCAAACCAATTATAATCAGGTTGCCTGCTCATTACCACATTACTGTTTACTGGAGCTTGCTGGGTACAATTTCACTGCCCCATCATTTACATTATGACAATGATTATGCTTCAGAAGTACTTAACTGGTGGTAAAATGCTTTGGGAAGGAGAGAGATGCTGTGGAAATGAAAATTCTTTCTTATGTCTTACCGCAGCTGAGTCAGAAACACCTCCATCACTCGAACCATGTCTACGTTGACTGAGACTGGCAGCAGGGTCTCGTTCAGTTGCTGGTGATCCACATTGTAAATCTAATCAGTGAACAAGGTTAAAACGTTAATGAAACGGAAACCCATCGGAACTTGAGAACAGAATTATCACTTACCCTAAACTGCATGAGTAAAAGCATTTAATCTTAATATACTCATAATCTATATATAAAGATAGAAAAAACTTGCATTTATGTAGCCTCTATAAACAATTTGGAAATGTAGTTACTACTGTAATGTAGAAAACATGGCAGCCATTTTGCAGACAAGCTTCCACAAACAGCAAATAATGAACACATTATCTCCTGTAGTGATATTGGTTGAATGCTCAGTTTGTCCACTTTCTCAGCAACGTGCCATGGGACCTTTTATGGCTTTTATTTTGAATTCATTAGCGGTATGCGAGTAGCACTGGCAAGGCCAGATTTATTGCCCGTCCCTGACTGAATTGTCTGTCAGAAGGGGTACACTGGCACCTTGGCTTAACATTTCATCTGAAAGACAGCATTTTCAACAATGCAGCACTGGAAGCATCATCCTGGATTTCAGGTTCAAGTCTCAGAAAAGAACCTGAACCTAAGCCATTCTGATTCAGAGTTAAGAGTGTTGTCCAGTGAGACAGGGCAGGCAAGAAAGGTTACATTAATTCATATACCACAGAAAAGAAAAACAAATACTAAAGCATACATTAGTGCCTGCTGATTTGATAATAGCATGCAGGTGATAAATGGAGCAATTGAAGGATTCTTCCTCCATGACCTGCCATGCTGTACTGCAATAACAAGGTGTAGAGCTGGATGAACACAGCAGGCCAAGCAGCATCAGAGGTCTAGGCCCGAAACGTCAGCTTTCCTGCTCCTCTGATGCTG